GCAGCAGCAGCAGCAGCAGCAGTTGCATGGCAGTCAGCAACTGCTCAGGCAGGCGCCGGACAATGCGGACATGGCACAAATGTCGCCGCGCAAAGACAACGTAAGTTGGGCAACGACTCAAAGCTGAAAGCTCTGCTTAGTATACCCTGTACCCGTTGCAAATGGGTATACTTGGATTGTACAAATGTGTATTACAAGCAGAAGCAAGCATTCGAACCCGTTAGGTTTTTATATTCCCGACAAAGTCCTCCAGAATCCACCCGGCCAAGTCCATCCGTCTAGAGAAACACATGGATCTCGGGAGTTACAGAAGCTTGAGACTCGAAATCTAAAATATATACTCTCGTAAGTGCCACATAAAACGAGTAAGTCGTTTATTTTTCAATACCTTCCCTTATATTCATTATATCGATAAATATCAATCGATAAATGTCGATAGCTCGAGGATTATAAGAGCTAGACACCACAAACTTGGCATACAGATTCGTGTATGATATACACAGACTAAGAGTATTTCAAATATATATTCCACGCATTTTCACCGTATCGATAATTATCGATTGTGAGACCCGCTTTTTTAAGCACAGCTCGAGAACTAAGTATAAGAGCTATAAACACCAAACGTGGTATACAGGTTCTTGTATAGTAGGTGCATTTTAAGAACATTGCATATACATATGTACATATTCCACGAGGGAAGTCGTTTTTTCTTCAAATATCGATTGTGAGACCCGCTCGTGGATTAAAAGACCTAGGTACACCAAACCCTCCTCCATTTCCCCATTATTTAAATACCCTTATGCTTGAATGAAAAGTAAATAAAGATTGGACAATGAACAACGTGGTTACCTGCGAACAGGTACAGGGTATCTTCAAGTAGGCCACTCTCGACTGGAACAGTCTTGTTTTATATGCTCATTGTTATCCTTTCTATGCGGACAGGACAAGCCCTCGCTGAATCGCCGCCTGTGGAAGCAAATCACCAAAAGAAGACGCACCAATTCCGTATCCCAGATAGTCGCTGGCTAAGAAACGGCGACTCACACTCACACACACACACACACACACACCCTTACTCTTGCAAATGTCTCTTTCTATATATCTCTCTCTCTATCTATCTTGCTATCTTGCTCTCTCCCTCTCTCGCTCTCTCGTTCATGTTCAGATAGAGATACACATGGTTGTATCTACGTATCTCCGTTCAGCTGTGTGATATTTGCCAGCGTAGCGCTTTTATTGTGTTGCATGAGTAGCGTTTAGTTAAGACTTAGTTAAGTTATCAGATTGTGCAGGAGCTTAGCTAGTTCCATAATGATTTGCGCTTGGAGACCGTTCACACTGTCACTGTCGGCAGTTACTGCAGCAGTAGATCACAATTTGAAAATCGTTTCAGATTCCTAAATCGAACCGTTTTTTACGATGCCCCAGCAGTTAATTGCTGTAAGTTACTGCTGCAAAGTTCAGTAAAAATGACTGCTACTGCAGTAAGCAAATAGACCATGATGTTTATTAATTATTGCAACACTGATTTACTGTTACTTTGCTGCACTGTCACAGCTGTGCAGTAAGTCGTTAGAGTACCTATGCGAACAAAGTTTACTGCTGGCAGTCAAACACACAATGTTTACAGTTAGCCTTTTAACACAGTAGTTCTATGTCAAAGGCTGTGTTTCCACTGACTTACTGCTGCCCGTGTTTTCACTGCAATGCAGTAAGTTTCATTGTCAATTAGAGTAGCAGTAATCAGCTGTTCGCATACGTACGTATACCCTTACTTATCAGAGCAAGATACTGCAGACTGTTAATAACTGTACTGCACAGTAATCTCTTATGTAATGTGTTTCCACTGCTATGCAGTCAGGTTTTGTTTTGTCTAACCTATCACAGGCAATTACTGCAGCCAGTTTATTACTGTACTGCACAGTTTTCACATATGTAATGTGTTTTCACTGCTTTGCAGTAAGCCAAAGCTGCCAGGATAATCAAGTACTTGCCTGATGCCATACTTTTTTTTTAGCGTGTTTCCACTGCAAGGCAACTGCAGCGTACAGTGCGAACGGCCTACAAATCGATCAAACTGATATTTAGATAAATTGAGCAAGCAACAAAACTAAACGAAAACGATTATGATGTTGATGATAAAGATGATGGTAAAGATGATGGTAAAGATGATGGTAAAGGTGATGATGAATACGATGTTAATGTTAAAGAAGAGAACTATGTAATATCTATGCTAAGTTTTTTGATACTTACAACTTTGTAGCTAGTTAAACCCATAAACGAATGCGTCCAATTGCGTCCACGTCGAACGCGACTCCTGCCAAACAGCTGGCCAACTGGTTGCTGACTACCAAGTTTTGAGGCCAAATATCGAAACTCTCGAATCTAGAAATTATGAACAGCCAAAAATGGGACAACGAATGGACAGCTCTGCCTGAGGACAAGGCTTTAGTGACTGTTATTTAACATACATTTAGCATCAGCTTATCGGGCGGGTCGTAGGGCGCACACACACACTAACACACACACACACACGCAATCCAGCCAAAAGAAATTTAGCAAAAAAAAAAAAATGGAAGCATATAAAATATGTGTCGACTGTTTTTTTTTTTATTTAGAGAGAAAAATATCGCAATTGGTAGCAAGTCAAATTAGTTTAGGTTCACACTGGATTAGCCAGTGTGAATGGGGCTTTTGAATTGTATTTTCTTTGAATTCTTTTATTTTTCTTTGAATTAACAATGAAATTGCCTTACACGTATAATATGAACTATTTATTGTATTTGTAGCTTAACATTAAACTTTATACATTTTATGGCATTTTGCAATTGTCATTTGTCCAGTAAAAGGTAAAAAAAATAAACAAAAGGAAAATGTAAAAGTTACAGTAAAAAGTACTCGTAGTAGCGGTAAAAAGAAAATTTTAAGAATTCCCATTTTTTTTCTCAACTATTTACAGCATATTTACATGCATTTTTGTCCGTTAAAGATACAGTTAGATGCGTTTAGGCAACGTTTGTGGGGTATTAGAATGGGAAGGGGGGGGTATGATAACACACAGCAAAACCTATGTGAGCGTATGTATGTGCATTTTGTATATTATTTCACATTGAAATTGTTGAAAGCTAACAAATTATACGAAATAAATAAATACAAAACAAACGATCGAGTACATTTATCAGCTTTAATAGAAATTCTAAAAAAAATATAATAAAAAAAAAACATATGTAGTTATATAATTGATATACATACTATACATACATACATATATACATCCATATATGTATATATATATATATACATATATACATTTATGAGGCAAACTACTTTGATTAGCATGTAAAAGATCGAACTATTAGGCATTTATCACTTTTAAACATTATACAACACTGACAGCAACGCCGCCTGCATTGCATTTCAATTGTGAATGCATGGCCCATTTACACTGCAGCTAGAGAAGCCGTCCCCACAAACTCCTCACCCGGCAGGGCACGGGACTTTTGAATTTATTTCTTTTCATTTTCTGTACTTCATACAGTAAACGTATTCATATTATACAGGTATACAATTAATTACTTTGTAAAATTAAAGCAAACAATTTTTTTGATATACAATTAAACACACAATTAGATTGAATATGTAATGCAAATTGTTTAGTTTTGCTTTGTTGTTTTTGTGATTAAAACATTAGATTGTAAATTGATAAACTTAGCGAAACAGAATTTTCCTCTTGAAATTCAACATAAAATTCAATTATGTGAGAAAAACAGAAAACGAAAAACACAACAAAAACATCAAATTTCAAATAAATCAAACTAAAAACAAATAATAATAATTGTTGTTTTGTGTTTCTTATATAAACGCATTTCAGTTTCCTAATGAACTTTATTTTGGCATAAAAGGTTCAATTTAAGTAATTAATTATTTTAGCGTGGACAGTTAAACGTTTGAGGACATGGGAAAGAAAAATTGAAAAATATGTTGGCTGCAGCACACGAGCTTAAGATGCTTAGGACTTACCAAATGAGAAATCAAAGCTTGTTGCTGCTACTGAAACGTTTAAGGACATCGCACAAAGAGGATTTCATAAAATGCTGCAATTTAGTAAAAGGAAGGCTGCAGCCCGGAGGTAAAGATGCTTAAGCTGCTGCTGGCGAAGCTCTTTGCTGCTAATACAACCTTTAAGGACATCGCACAAAGAGAATTAAAAGCGAATATTTCTCCCGAGCGAGTCCCGAGCGAGAATAGATAACTCTAGTACTCTAGCCCGCGTGGGAAATCAACGCTTTTTTTGCGCAAAGTTTGTCTCCCTTGATTGATTGCAACCCACACATTTGCACTGATGTGCACCAATGGACGTATCCGGCTCTATATGCTAGCAAAAAAGATCTATGTGTAGTTCTGATTGCACATCGCATCGCTGACTACGAATAGCAACAACAATGGCAAAAAAAAAAAAGTAATTTAAAAAAAACAAAAATTAACTGTCAAGCCCAAGCCCAAGCCCAAGCCCAGGCCGCAGCCGCAGCCGCAATCAAAGCTTCAGCCTAGACCTCAGCTTCAGTTGCAGTCAACGTCGCCGTCGTCGAGTCCCGTTTGGTGCGTGCAGTGAAATGCAGTTTTAAAGCGTGCCGAAAAAAAAAACAGTGGGAGAGTGTGCTCTCTTTGGGTGTCGCTGCGGCTGCTGGCGCAGTAGCTGACCGAGGTTCGTTTAGAGAGCGTGGCGCCGGCGTCGCCGTCGCCGTCGCCGTCGCCGTCGCAGCTGTTGCTACCGAGCTTTGCCATGCTCAAAGCTGATGTCGCTCAGCTGAGCGCTCAGTTTGAAAACAAGTTTCGTGGCGAACGGTCGATCAGCGCCAGTCGTAGCCGCAGTCGCAGTGGCCCTAAAGAATTTTGCCGCAGCCTCTCGCCACCGTGTGTGTGTGTGTGTGACTGTCTGCTTGTGTGCGCGCGTGTGTGTATGTATATTGCATTGTTTATTTACATACATTACATGTTTCTCCATTTGGCGTTTTAATTGGGCAGCGGGTGCAATTGTTTGCGCCGAGTGTGTGTCTGCGTCTGTGGGCAGTCGCTTAGTAAATATTAGTTTCTTTTTTTTTCCATTTTTTTGTTTTTGTTTTTTTGTGCTTTCCCAAAAAAATCAAAAATAAAAACTGCACTGGCGCGCGCTTGTGTGTGTGTGTGTGTGTCTGTGTGTTAAGCTGCATGTGAACTAACAGGAAACAACGAGCAATTAAACAAACGACGTTAACGCGGTCGCAGACGCAGTCGCAGTCACCGCCGCAGTCGCCGCCACAGTCGCAGTCGCAGTTGCCGTCGCTGTTAGAACCATGAAGCCCAAGACTCGCTAATTGAGGTCGTCGCTAGGTAAGTTCTGTGATCTGTCTAATGCTTCTTCTTGTTGTTGCCGCTGCTTCCGTTTGCCTTTGCCAACATTGAAATTCACTTACAGCAACAGCGGCAGCGCCAGCAGCAGCGGCAGCAGCTCGCAAAGTGCGCTTAAGAAACATAGAGACAAAAGAAACATAGATACACGGATACAGCGAGGTGCAGAGTGTATGTGTGGACAAACGGTAAATAATGCCGGTGCTTACGCTGCTCCGCCCGTAACTCCCCAAGGCAAAATTTGCAGCACGCACAGTGGTACGCACGTCAATTGAAATTGCATGAAATCTGATTGAAGAAATTTGGCATACTTTTCATTCAAAGACGAAACTGTCAAGAACTGCTTGAGAATTCTAAGCGAAAGAGAAAAATAAGTAATCAAGAAGACGCTTTACATCGATTTCTTTGAAACAAAAAAAAAGTTTAAAAATAAAATTGAAATATACAGAAGATAAACAAAAAGATGACACAACATTTTAAGCCAAAATAAATACATAATTTTCATTTAAAAAGAATGAATCAGAGGACAATTGAAATTCATAATAACTGCAAAAATAATATCGATTATTATTAATAATTGCCTTCAAGCTTGGTTGAATTACGCAGCTAAATGCACTTTAAACAAATATAATTTTGCGCTCTTTTATTTTTGGCACTCTTGCATGTTGTTGCACCACTGTCCACGGCAACTGCGGCAAATCAAAATGACAGATAGACGCTGTAACTGCAGCTGTGTTGTGTCCGCTGCCCGCTGTCCGCTCTCAGCTCCTCGGTGGAGTTTAGTGTTAGCCAGTGAAAGCAGCGTCAAATCTGCGTCTACTGTATCTGTATCTGTATCTGTATCAGCAACTGTAGCTGTATCTTTAGCTATAGCTATAGCTGAGAACCTAACTGCTGCTGCAGCTGGCATTCCATCAACATCATCTGAGAGCCATCAACAATAATAATTATCTAACTATCTGGCCGCATAACTATCTATTGATGCTGCTCCGGCTGCGGCAGCCTCAAAGCCGCAACGGAAGCGCGCCACTTGCTTTCAGATCGCTTTTCGGCTTCTATATGTATCTGAATCTGTATCTGTATCTGTATCGGTATCTCATGTATCTTAAGGTCAAAAACCACAGCTGCTAAATGCATATTAAGCAATTTAAGGCGAATCGAAAACAACGCCAGATAACACATCGATGCGGATGTGCAGATATGCGGACATATAGATACAAAGATACATAGATACAAAGATACATTGCCTATTTAGTTGTTGCTGCTGCTGCTGTGAACTCAACAAGTTTTAGTGCCAGAAACGGCAAGTGCAAAAATTTGTTGCGAAAATTGATTAACAGCAAACTGGTTGAAGATCGCGAGCCATTACCTCCCACCCGCCCCGCACCCAACGTACAAACGACAACCCCCCCCCCCCCTCCTCCTCTACACTTCCACCCTCCCTTCGCCAGAAAGCTGTTGAAATTTTATAAAATTGCTGCTCAAAAGTTGTTTAATTGAATCTCATATAAAAATCAAACGCAACGCAAACAGTTTTAAACGCGCCGACAAACAATAATATGATCATGATCATGATCATAATGATGATGATCATAATGATGATGATGTCCATTGAAACTTGAAAACTTGGTACTTAGTACTTGGCTTGTAATGCTCGGACATGGCGGCGACATTTATAAGGTATATATCAAAAGTTTCGTATAGGGTATTTCATGTTTGTCAGAAATTTGATAGGGCTGTAAATATATGTATATACATTCTGGATGGATATATATATCTTGAATGGGATTATTATGCAGCTAACAAAAACGTTCTGTATCTTTTTTGGTTTCTTGTGGGGAGAATATTTATTTGGGTTATTTAGATAACGTTTCGAAAGTTATCGATAACAAATTGTATTATGTGTTCAGCAAATATCGATCAAATCGGTAAACTATATCATACATAACTATATATAAATTGTAAATATATACATTCTGGTGGGGTATATATCTTAAATGGGATTATTATATAGCTAGAAATACGTTTTATATTTTGTTTTGGTCTCTTGTGAGAAGTTTATTTAAATTGGTTCTTTAGATATCTTTTTAAAATTTATCGATAACACGTTTTATTGACTTCAGCATATATCGAAAATTTGGATAAACAACATCACATATAACTATATCATTTATCGCAATAACATATATATAACTATATAATAAATCATATACCTATATCGTGTAGCCATAAAAGCTATCGCGAAACTCTTATGTTTTGAAAGACATTCTGAACAAATACACCAAGTTTTATGTTATGCCTTTAACCTAACTGGCAAACTTTTAAGCAATAATTGTAGCTATAGCTTAAATAGGAATAATCGATTATTGATCTAGATCCAATTAAAATATCGCACAGCTTTTGTTAGCGAGGGTATTTAATTGTCGGCACTGCCCAGCCAAATCTTCTTGCTTGTTTTGTGCTTTTAATTTAAAAAGCATTTTTTTATTTTGGTTTGTTTTTTTTTTGCGACTTTTGTTAAACAACACATTTCACTGGACAAACGACTGAGGAATTGATAAACTGGTTTCCCAGTTTATTGAATTAAATACATTTGCATCGCACGCAAAAGCGCTTCAAATGTTGTTGTTTTCTTCAGCTTATATTTTACTTTGATTTTTTGTTGATTTTTTTTAATAACAAAACACAAAACAACAAGATGGTTCGGTTCTCCGGGCATGCTCATAAAACTGCTCAAGGTATTTGAACCCAAAGCCAACGACGCAAAAATACAAAAAAATAAAAAAAAAAAAAATAAAATAAATATCAAGCTCACAATGGGCAAGGGGCAACGAGGGGCAGAGGCAGGCGAGGGCAAAAGAACGCAACCCCAACCCCTTTTGTTGAAAAGTGTCAGCAGCAGCTGTCTGAAGCTTAACATATAATATATGCACACATACATATACATATATAGCATATACCCATATGTATAGCCCGTATTCAGCTAAGCCTTGAACTGCATGAATTGAATGTTCCCATAGAACATGTTGTTGAGCTTCAGCTTCTTCCTTTTGTCTATTGCTCTTCTTTCCATCCCACCTGGTGTTCGGGCACATTTCCCTTCACCAACGACATGTTCCACATTCCACACGTTCCACTCACTTTCAACTGAACTGATTTCCAACTGATTTTGTTCCCTTACACAAAAACCTTTCTAATTTGTAACGATCGCTGTGTGATTTTTCACCCATTCCTCCTTTCCACCGACTCCTCACTCCAATTGCCGTTCATCCGCTAATTGATTGACTTTTCCTACTTAGGCCCCAGATATCCGACATACATATATAGATATATGTATGTATATGCATGTGTATGTAAGTACTTGCACACTTGGCACTTGTCTGAGTCGTTTGTTTCTTTTTCTCTGCCCCTGACTCACATTGTTTATCGATAACTTTGGCGCTTTATTGCATCGATCGTTGTTTAAGCTAAACCTGATAGCCAATTGGACTTAACAATCTGTCTAAACATTGATATTCACGCTCTGGGCCAACATTCATAAAGTTGATTCATTTCAATATTTCAAGTTGATTTTGTCATCTTACAAATGTTTCTCTGTTTTTCAACCATTTTCCATTTGTTGTTGTTTTTAATTGATTATACAGCAGTTATTATTGATCAGATATCGATTAAACAGTTGAACCATTAGCTTATCCGATCGCAGGCATTAAACAAACTAATCTATTGTCTTTATAGTCCGTGTGTGGATCTTGCCTAATGCTTTTCAGGGTACTTGAACTTCTGCTACTTCGCCTTACTTCTCCTCCTCCTCATGCTGCTCCTCCTCCTCCTCAACAGTCTCTTCCACTGCCAAGAACAATGGAACCCCACAGCGGTGACGATGGCTCCGATTGCTCTTTGGTTCTTTGACTATGCTTCTGCATTGTCTAAAGTCAGCTTATGCCATACATAATAATTAGAATCATGCATAGCTGCCTCTTACAGGGTGTGTGCGTGTCTCTCTCCCTCCCTCTCCCTCTCTCTCGCTATGTGTGTGTGAGTTCGCTGACTGACTGGCTGACTGTGACTGTGACTGTGACTATAACCGTAGCTACCGTAGCCGGGCTTCCAACTGGCAGCTGGGAGCGCTACGAACTTGGCGCTGTTTGGCTGCTCATAATCACAGGCCATAGCCATAGCCATAGCTGAAGACCCATCATCATCATCATCATGCACTGCAAGAAATTCGATGTGCATATCTAGTTGTTGTTGCGTAAAATTCCATTCGTGGCTGTTCAAATAGAACCCTAGATCGAGATCCTTAAAACATATTCCAGTTTAGCTTTTATTTTTTTAATTACAAAATAATTAAAATCTAATGATTACATTGCAAACACATAAAAATCAATGTGTACGGAAAAAAATGCAGGCAAGAATTTATTCTAATTCTATTTTCTTAATGCAATTTTTTTTATTATATTGAAAAATGTTGTAAAATAATCTTTAAAATAAATTTAAAAAAACATTAACAATCTTTTTTAACTAAAAGTTTTTATTAAATTTTTGTATTAAATGAACATTTTTAACACCTTTAAAAAAAAAGTATAATAATTAACAAAATTAAAATAAAAATATAATTTTGATATTAATAATTAAAATAAATAATAAAATAGTACTAACTACACTACTAAAAATTTCTATTCTGCATTTATTTCTTAGTTTTTTCTTAATTGCTTAGAATTAAATTCAAGTTGAATTAGTATTTGCAATGTTTCAAAAATGATGTACGATTCTTATGCCTTAAACAAGTTGAAGATAATATCGTCAGTCAGTTCAAGCACCGCTTTGCTCTCATGTATTTTGCTCAGTGTATTTAGCGTGTCGCTCATTAAACATGGCTGCGTTTGTGCTAAGCAATTACAAAGCCAAAAGAATCGGAGTAGCAAACAGTTTTTTATTTATGTTTATTGTTGTTGTTGTTGTTGTTGTTTTTGGCTAAAAGC